ATTTTTTGTTATATATTCTGTTCCATTAAGATACATGTTTATCTCTCCACAAATACTATGGTGTTGATTCCTATAGCCATAAATTAAGTCTTGAAAGTGCAAACTGGTTCCTTCCTTTTGTTCTTTCCTTTTTCAGAATTGTTTTAGCTCTTCTAGAGATTGTGCATTTCCATAAGAAATACAGCCTTAATATAGGATTTTTACAGAGATGAAAGCGCAATTCAATGGAAGAAGGATACTATTTTCAACAAATGGTGCTGGGGCAGCTGGATGCCCTTGGGGGACAGAGGAGGGAGGGAAAAACTGTGGTCACCTAAACCTCACAGCTTACATAATAATTTTTAAAGTATGTATGCTATATTATCTTTATAACTTATATTTTCAATTTTTTACACTTATATGAAGTTTTATAACCATATTTAGAATGACTTTGAAAACATTCTATTTTTTATAATTTTCATTTTACAATCTTTTAGATAAATATCTTACCTTCCCATTCACAAAATTTTTATTCTTTTTTATCCCTTAACCAAATGAAGTATATCTTTTAGCAATTATTTCAGAAAGGTAGGTTTTTTTTTCTAAAATACATAGCTGAAAATGACATATTAAATAAAAACATATTATGAATTTAAATATAGAAAATAAAGCATAAATATTTAGGAAAAAATTGTAGTAGGTCTTGCAGATCTGGAGTTAGGCAAAAAGTTCTTAGAATTGACACCTAAGTGTAATCTATAAAAGGAAAAATTGATAAACTATAATTCATGTACTAAAACTTTTGTTCTGAGAAGGGTTATGTGAATAGTATGAAAAGATAAGCTATTGACTGGGAGAAAATATTTTCACACCATGTTTTTTACAAAAAGTTAAAATCTAGAATATATAAAGAACTTTCAAATTCATCAGTAGAAAACCAACAATTCAAACATAAATGGATGAGAAAATATTTGAACAGACATTTAATCAAAGAATATATACACATAACAAATGAGCACAGAAAAGCTTTTTTAACATAATTAGCCATTTAGCCATTCTGGAAATGTTACTTAAAACCACAAGGAGCTATTACTGCATACCTACCAGAAGAGCTAAAATATAAAATGATGACAATGCCAAATACTGGAGAGAATATGGAAAACTGGATCAAGCATACATTGTTGTGGGAGTGAATCATAGAGTCTCTCAGGAAAACAGTCTGGCCATTTGTTTTGCTAACATATAATGCAGAAATTGAACTCTTAGACATTCACCCAAGGAAATAAAAATATATGTTCACTGCAAACCTGCATAAGAGTGTTCACAGCAGTTTTATTTGTAATACTGCCAAACAGAAACAACCTAGATAACCTTCAATAAATGAGTGATTAAACAAGCTGGAGTAGACCTTTAACATGGAATATTGTTCAACAACAAAAAGAAATGAAACAAACTATTGATACATTCAACAACTTACATAAAAATCTCCAAGACATTTTGCTGAGTGAAAACAGTCAGTCCCCAGAGTGAAAAATGTCAATCTCAAATGGATCACTGTATGATCCATTTCTACAACATTCTTATAAGGACAAAGTGATAGAAATAAAGAGCCGATTAGTGGTCATCAGGAATGGGATCATGGAGGTGGGTGTCGTTGTAAAGGAGGAAAGTTTTGGTGATGGGAATGTTTCATATCCATGGTGACTGTGTCAATGTTAATATCCTGGTTGTGATAGCATAGTAAGTATACTTCTGCATAATGGGGAAAACTGGGTAAAGGATACAAGGAATCTATCTGCATTAGACATTGCAAATATGTATAAATGTACTTTATCTCAAAATTTAAAATAATAATTTAAACATTTAGATGTTTTATAAAGATGATTAACACAAACTATTTTAATGCCTTTTTTGATATTGTTATTAACCATGACCTGGGGAGGTGAGTATCTTAGAATGAGCTTGTTGATGCTACATTCTGAGTCATTTGGATTAAATGATAAGGAGAACTAATCTTGTTAAGTAAAAGAAGTCCCTAGAAGAGATCCAGGGTTGCTTAACTCAATGGCTCATCAGTGTCATCAAAGACTCAGGACATATTTATCTTTTTTTTTTCTGTCATCTTCACGGTGTTACCTTGTTTCTCTTAGTCACAAGACGTTTGTTAAAGTACTGGGGCATCACAGATACAGTAACTTCTCTCAATGAAAGAAAATTGTTTCTTTCATTGTTTCTCTTTAATGCATGAGGAAATATGCCAAGGGCCTCTTCTAAAAGCCTTTCTGCCACATCATAGGGAAAAAAAAAGGATTGATATATTTGCTTGGAGTTCTCAATATTTCCCTGCATTTCCTGAGAGAGGTGTGATTCAAACAATATATAGTAGTGTCTACTACAAGTAAATAAAACTAACAGTAGGAGTTGTGAGTTCTAGTCCAAGATCAATTTCAAAATCTCTTCATGACATTGGCTATATCCTGTACATTCTCTGCCTTTCAGTTTTTTGTTTTTTTTTATTCTAACTAAAATAAAGAAGCTGGATATATCGCCACTCTAGGTGTGATTTATTCTGTGATAATGCTGCAGTTATGATTTTATATACCTGGTAACCTTAAACATACCACCCAAGACCCAGTTTGAATTTGTCATGCCATGTTATGACCCCAGTGACCATTGCAGAGAGAGTTAACTTCCCCCTCAGTACTATTTTAAGCCCCTGTTGTCAGACTTATCATGCTGAAGTATGGCATAAATGATGTACATTTGTGTCTTCCTGCATTAGACAGTGAATTAATTTAAGGAAAGGGTCACATTCCCCACTGCCTAGACTTGTGTCTGGTTAAGATTAGACAACTAATAAAGATATGGTATTTTTAGTTAAGTTACCTGGTAGTACACTGTTATCAGGTTACTTGCTGTATTGTTCAGTTAACAACTATTACCACTAATAAATAATTCTGAGATTTGGGAATAAATCAGTAGGAAAATAATAAATACTCCATAAAAAAATCACATTTTTGTACAGCATTTTCCCTAGATGTAATGGTACATTTCACAGAATGTTAACCCTTCATAACCTACTGTTCTCTTTAGCTTTTGACCAATGGTCAAAATCTAATGTACTTAACTTAATGTAGGAAGATCTTTCTATTAAGCACGACCTTTGCACATTTCTGGAAATTAAATTACAGCCACTCAGAAATCAATTTAAATGTTTAACTGAATTAAATGTTGCTTGTAAACATTAAGGGGAAGGACAATAGTGCATCATAAAAAAAAGCCCAATTTGTCATCTACATCCATTTCTAATTTAACATTATCATTACTAATTGTCCAAGTTAATTGCCAAAATCAGCAAGAAGACACTGAAAATCATGAATTATTGCTTCTATATAGTTTCTTTCTTAAAACAATTACAAAATGTGAGCAATCATAAAAAATGCAGTAAACATTCATTCTGGTATTTTTTTCCATATTTCTTAACTGAATACTTATTGTGTCTCAGCATTTAAGCCCATGTCATTTAATATGTTATTATATTTGTAAACAGGCTTTTTCGAAAGCAATTTATTTAGGATAGAGGAACATCATAATTAAAGAAAAAATACCAACAAAATGTGGGCTGCATTTTTATATTATTTATTTGTATTCAGTAATATTTCCTCTTGATAGAAAATAAAATTGCTCAATGCAAAACAACTACAGAATTATGGCATATATATGATCTATTCAATTTGAAATAAGCTAACTATTATCTAATAAATAACCTTACAATAAGCACAGTTTCTTTCTAATTTGGTTCACCTTAACAGATGAATACACAAATAGGTATACAGTAAATAACTCTTAGACACAGTCTTCCGCTAGCTTGAAATAGCATTTGTAATACTCAAGCAAATTACTATATTCAATGAAAACTTACTGAGTGCTTATTCTGTGTAAGAAACTATCTTAGTCCATTTGTGTTACTATAGGAATACCCGAGGCTGGACAATTTATCAAGAAAAGAGGTTTATTTTCCTCATGGTTCAGCAGGCTGTACAAAAAGCATGACATCAGCATTTGCTTCTGGTGAGGGCTTCAGGCTGTCAACTCACAGTGGAAGATGAAGGGGAGCTGGCATGTAGAGAACACATGGCAAGAGAAAGCAAAAAGAGAGAGCAGAGGGGGTACTAGATTCTTTTCAGCAATCGAGTCCTGTGAGAACTAAGAGTGAGAACTCACTCACTCTCATAAGAATGGCACCAAGCCATTCATAAGGGATCAAACACTAATACTCAAACACATCCATCAAGTCCCACCTCCAACATTGGAAATCAAATTTCAAATGAGACTTGTGGGGCCAAAAAGAAAACCGTATCAAAAGAAGAGCAAGAACTGTTCTGGGTTCTGGTCTGCATTTGTTAAAAGGAGGGTAAGAAGGGTTTCTGTCCTAATATAACATATTTTAGCAGAGGGCATTTTATGTTAAATTAATTAATTGTTTAATCTAAGTTAAGATAGTCTTTAAATCAATTTAAAATGTGTATACAGCACATACTATATGCCAGGTACTATTCCAAGTTCTTTGGATGCATTGGTGACCCAAAGCTTGAAAGATTTCTGCTGTCATTAGATTATATTGTAATAGAAAATGACAAATTATGAACACATTTGAAGAGAGAGGGAAATGAATAAAATAATTGTTTTGAAGATAGTGGAAGAATTAATTTTCTGGACTATTGTGTAAGATTATTGGGCAATATTAAGTGTCTATTTGAGATTAATTGTCATGAAAGTAATGTGAGACCAGTCTGTAAGTTTGGAGGTTTTTCTAAAGAAAGTTTCCAAAGAAAAACTTAAAAAAAACTTCTAAAGAAAAAAGCCCCATTTATCTTCACAGTTAGCATAGGTATAGAGGGGAAATGAGGTTTAATTAATATAACATTGAGTTATTGCCAACATCCCTTCATACTCAGGTTGCAGAATTATAAAACCACGCCCTTAGGTTGCCTCATCTCAGGAAGAATTTATTTATTCACCTCTTGGACTTGGCCATATGAGTTACTTTTAGGAACTGGACAGCAGACATGATGTGATCAGAGACTTATATTACACTTTCTTGATTGGTCTTGCTCTTTAGTTCTTCTGCCTTTCCTATGGGAAGAACAGAACTTGGTTAATTGGTTGTTCAAAAAGGGTTAGAGATGCACATGGTAAATCTGGTAAGAAACTATGATTTAGGGCTAAATACAGATTCACTCAATCTACACCCACCCAGAAAATTCTAACTGATCCACTATATTCCAGTTCACTGATAAATATGAGGAAAAAAATTAAGAAGTAAGAAAATTCAGAATGGCTACAGAGAGGCAATTAAAAACATGGACCATGGAATTCACGTTAAGTAAAAAGACATTAGTCTAAGTTATGCCATTCAAAAAATAATTTTTGATAACTATAATCCTGAAGGACATGTCCAAATAGTTTTAAGAGAGGCCTCATTTTTAATGCAGTTTTCCTCTTTCCAAAGGAGTTTCTGGGTTGTTGGAAAGAAAAAAAAATTGTCTATATGTCATTATTAAGATATCCATAAAAGTTTCTATATGTAAGTAGCAAATGAAAAACACAAACCAGAAAATCATTCTAGAAGAACAAAGAGAAAGATAAAGCACAAAGAGAAAGATATCATTGAGATCTGGAATGATCAGCTGTAGTTTTCCATAGAAAGGGGTCCTCATAAAGGCAGAATTCAGGAGAGAAAGGAGCAAAGTACATACTTTCTGCCCCCTTCCTGGTTTTCTCAGGACACTAATCCATGTTCCTGATGGCTCAAGTCTGATGCCCTTTTCTCTTCTTTGTCCGCATGGCAAAAAGGAGTAGTATTTGATCCCATTTTGAGGTCCTTGAGGGCACATACTGTGCTTAATCCCTAACATAGATCTTAGCACATAACTGCAACTCAATTCCTTTTATTAAATCAATCAACTAATAAGTGAGAAAGAATGATGAAAGTTCTGTTTAATTTTTAATTTAATTCTTGTTGCTGGAAGGAATTTTTAAAAATTTACTTAATTTAAAATAACTAAATTGAAAATAACATATATGACTTGATCATCGCAGATGTGTTATAAAACTGTTCTTAAACTAAAGCAAAGTTCAAGAAATTAATGCAAGTAGACAAATAAACAGATTTCTCCTGCTGACATGAGAAAATAAAAATAAATTTTACTTAGGTACCTATACAAAATGCTTAAATAGTCAGCAAGTGTATTTTCTCTCTGCTTAACCATTCTACATGATAAATAAAATGTTAACTAACTCCAGCGTTACTCAAATAATTGGCAAATGTAACAGTAATAAGATGTTGAAGATCTTCCAGTCATCTAAATCTGTTTAAAATATAAAACTGGCCCTCAACTGTCAATGACAGCCATCCTCTATGAGAAAACTTGAGACAAGGTCATAATAATGAATTTCTTAAGTTGTGTTAGAATGTGGTTTAAAACCAAGCTCTTTATAACTTAATGAATTCTTCTAGGCTGACACAAGCAGTTTCTTTTTAATGACAGAAAAGCTTGGGAGCTGGGGAGAATGGGACATAAGAAAGACAAGGAGAAGAGGTCTTTAAAAAGCACTTATTGAAAAAAGCTCTAAAATTGGAAGCTGTACAGTTAATTAACTGGATGATGTTGGGAGAGATCATTTAACTACTTTAATTTTCATTACCCTTATATTAATAGTATAAAATATAGGGATTAGGGAGATGATTCCCAATGTCCTTAGAAGTTCTAAGATTATACAATTCTCTGATCCATTTTCAGAATTATAACTAAGTAAAAGCAGTGACAACATCCTACTTTCAAGGTCAAGTTAGGCAAAGTAGACTGTTCTAATTTAAAGACCCTTGTCCTTTAACATATTAAAAAATTTATGGAATATCCTGAAGGTTTGATTTTTAATGAAGATCACATGGTGATTTGTGATTTATATATGGGGCAGCCATAAAATTTCTTGTTGTACTGGTGCCATTTGTGCTAAGTAGAAATAATAAATCTATTGGCAAAACTTATTTATGATCACAAAAGCAAAGTGTTCATATCTTAAAAAGTCTGTTTAATAAAAATAACAATTTAATAAGGATTGAAAGAGAAAAGCGTGTACAACAGGGCATTAGAAGGCATTGTGTGTGCCTTTTCATCTTTCCAAGCTTTGAATGAAGATAACTGGGCAGATTTCAGAGAGAAAACAGACACAAAATGGAATATTGAAATAGGAATATTGCTTGCAACTGAGGACTGGTGTGATGATGCAGATGACTGGGAAAATGACAGTCGGGAGGCCTCCTCCACCGCTTATCCTGGATTTTGGAACTGATTTCAACTGTGCCAAAGATATAGGCTGGCTTGTCCAGTCCAAGACCTCAGCCTGCAGGGCACTGTCATGAATGCTGCTCATCCTGCACCTCCTGGGGTGCAGCCCACTATCGTGCCGCAGTTCCTACTCTGCTCCAGCTGTGTCATAGATGAGGATAACTGGAGGGACTCTGTCAATCTCTAGGTCATGCCCACAGCCTTCTAAGGGAGTATCAACAGAGACAAGGAATTGATATGGAACAGTTGTTTTCCTAAACTTTGTCTAATGAAAGTGATCAAAAAAATAAGTGGATTAACAAAATGTGGTATATGTACACTATAGAGTACTACTCAGCCATAAAAAATGACTTAATACCTATTGCAATAATCTGGAATGGAACTGGAGACCATCCTCCTAAATGAAATATGGCAAGAATGGAAAAACAAATACCGTGTGTACTCACTATTAAATTGTAACTAACTGATCAGCACTCATGTGCATAGATGGAAGTAAAGCTCAACAGAAATCATGCAGGAGGGAAGGGGGAGGAGGGAATAGGTAGTATCATCCCTAATAGGTGCAATGTACACTCTCTGGGTTATAGGCACATTTCAACTTGAGTGTAAAAGCAATTCAAGTAACCAAAACATTTGTACCCCTGTAATATTCCTAAATAAATAAATGTGAAAATAAAAAAAGTATGAGACCATAATTTAAGGTGATGATGTTTTACAAATTCATGAAGTGAATTTCTGCTTGTTAGGAGTAGGTTTTGAGGTATTCCTGCAGCATGGAGACACTCTTTTTGACCCGCTCTATGTCAGAAATCACTGAGCTCTCAGCCTGCAGCCACTGCAGAAGCAGAACATTTGAGTTTCAGCTTATGCTAGCACTGGTCAGCACACTCACAAGTGCTGATTTAGGTCTTTCTGTAGAATTTGAAACAATTCTAGTTTACACAGGTGAGAAGAGTTGCTGACCTCAAAATCATCCAATTCCCATGGAAGAATTTAGTATCACAAAATAAGACCAGGATACATTATTACATAGAGCATTTCCTTTTACTTATATAAATTCCAACAAATTCTAATGTTTAAATTTTTTGAGTACTTTGAGTTTATTTCCAATTCTATTTTAATGCAATACTAAAATCATCAATGATATTTTTTAACAGCAACATTTAGGAATAACTAAATAAAAGGAAGGAAATATTTGCTACTTAAGTGCCACTGTGTTGCAAATGATTCATGGATCATTTATTTTTTTTTTTTTTACAAAGTCTTCCCAAGATATTATTATTATTTTACAAAGAGAAATCTGAAATTCAGAGAAATGAAATAACTTTCCCAGACTTATCCAACAGTAAATTTAGAATCCTGAACTCAAACCCTGGACTTTCTAATTCAAAATAGATTGTGCATCATAGAGTAAGAAGTAAGATAGCACACTAAGTGTGAAACAAAACACAAGGTGAGATATGTTCTTCATGTCCTTGGCATAGACAATAAATATGAAAAAGTTTATGAAACATTTAACATTTATTGAGAGCTTTATTGTTTCAGGCCCTCTACAATAGCTTTCTTAGATTATTTCAATTAATATTTGTTCCAGTCTTATCAGGTTTGTGCTATTAACACATCCATTTTACATATGAGGAAACTTGACGTAGAAAACTGAAGTGACCACACCAAGATCACAGAGCAAGTCAGTTGCAGAAATAGGATTCACATCCAGTCAGTCTCACTTTAGAGTGAAAGTATTAATACTATGCTATACTGCATCTCTAGGCTTAAAGAAGAAAAACAAGTGAACTTTCTGCTTTATTGATAACTGTAGGAAATTATTTCAATATGCACAGTTCTACTTTATTCTTAAAAATCATATTCTTTAAAAAGACATGCTCCAAGAATTTATCAGAAAATTATCTTTCTTATCTGTTCAATTAGTTGCACTAATATTATCAACATTCAGCTTGTGAAGTTTAAGATGCAAAAAGTGCTAGCTTAGTATATAAAGATTATAAAGCCTCATGGCTTTTTTTTTCTTTGTTCCTTTCTCTTATAGGAAAATCCTGATCATATCTTGCTGTACATGTCACAAAGTCACTGCTGAGTAATGTTGTATTTAAAATTATGTCATTGTAACTTTTCCTCTTATACTAAAGAATTCAGAACAGGAAAATATAATCAATTATGTCAGATTTGAATTAAATTATTTAGTTTTTTAAAAATTAATTAAGCACATAGATTCTTTTAAAGCAATGCTTCTCAAACTTTTGAAACTCCTAATTTTTTGCTTAAGAAGTTTTTCTGAGCAAGTTATTCAGATTTTTTCTTTTTATCTTTCTCATATGAAAAATAATATTATAACATAAAACACAATTTTTTTCAAATTTATGCATATCTCCACCTCAGATTCCTCCCATTTTGACACATATTATTTTATCTCCCACACTTGTACTTGATGATCACTGCTGTAACAGCTGGGCAATTCTTTTAACAGTCTCACTGCCCCTGGCTCTTCTCCCATGTCATGCTGTCACTTCTCTGTTTTTTTCTCAGCTATGCCTATCACACCTGTTCATTATGAGAATAACGCTATTTGAGAATCTGCCTATAACTTAGAACAAAGAACAATAAATATCACATTTCATATATAAAGGGCCCATATCCTGGTTATGCAGTAAAAGAAAATCTGTGTTAGATTTGTGCCTGCATGGTGCTGGTTCAGAAATGGATTAAGAAATAGAAGTTGGAAGCGACCGTGTGGGCACAGAGAAGTAGAAGTACCAGGTTTCTTTA